AATCAAAAGATCATTTTTAGGTATCCTTCTTTGATTTGTTGATCCATTCATGTTGTTGATATTTTGGTGATACGTTTTTGGAGGGTATTGGTATTCTGGTCGGTTGTAGTTCTTGGTTGATCGAAAGCCTGATGGTGAGTTTTGAATGAACAAATTGAACTTGGATTGAAATCCGATAGGTTGGTCTGTATTTATCAGAACTCTGTTTTGTTGGAATCTGCAGTTTCGATTTGATCGGATCGAGAGTCGAAACAGCTTTAATCATCATGAGGCAGCTTCCTGGTTTATGACTTGATTGAACTTGATGAGATTTTTGACATGGAATTGGCTCATCATAGCTCTAACCAAGCCAAAAGAAATTATGAGTGGATCTCAGAAATGACAATTAACCACCCTTTCTTTTGAACATCTTGGTTGGAATTGAATTACTTAGATACATGGATCTCTTTCTTTGAGGGATTCTCGTTGATTTATCCACAAATATCATGATGATATTAGAGAAAAGGGTCAGGAGATTGAGAATGATATATTGTTCTGATTTCAGGTTGAGAAGATTGATAACTTTGTTCAGGTAGAGTACTGAGTGAAGACACTACAAGACACCAAGTGACAGAGAAGAAATCAACACCTTTACAAAGGTTGATACTTACACTCTTATCTATGAAGAGTTTTTAGGAGTCTTTGGTCTCATACATTGACATACTCATATTTCCTTAGATATAACAGAAATATCACATCAACATCTAATAAGGATTCCTTGGAATAAAACATTTTTCACATCTACATGCATGATGTGAATCCCTTGAAAACTCTTCATTTCTAAAGTGAAAGGTTCAATTCAAAATGCAACACACAATATGAAGACAAGCCTTGAAGTTGTAGACAATTTGAGCTTTCTGATGAAGTTAACATTTCACCCTTTACCCTTGGGCACTAGAAGCAAGCTTCTAGATACAAGAATAGGTTACAGGTGCCATGGGATGTAGCCACAACAGATGATGTGTAAGCCATTGTGTTGTGCATATTTGCACTCTTGTGCTGCACACCGCCAACAAAGAGGCCTCAGATTTCAAAATCCAAGGTATCCTTGGATGGCAATAGCCCCAGACAGAACATCCAAGTAAATGATCTGAGGCAATCTTTGGGGCCAAAGAAAGCCTCAGATTAATTCCTAGGACATGCAGTCCAAAGGAACCTATATCTGAGGATACCTTGGCCATTGCAATATGATGTATATTTTCCGGATGCTCTTCTTACCATGGAAAAATTCTTCATTGACTCTATGGCAATGAGGATGCTCTTTAACCTCATAATTGTTATATATAATAATGTGGATGATTTTGAACTCTGGTTCTTCCCACCTTACTTATCTATTAACTCAAAACAATTAAAGATACTGTCATCAAGGTATTATCATGTTTTCAAGATGTCTTTGTTTTTAAAAAATATTAGTATTGCTATTGATTCATATAAATTTTGGATTCTGGTGTTCATCAAATAAGTTAATAAGATAACATATATATTTCCTAAGAACCATTATTGTTTCACATCATGTTTTTCCTTTTTTGACTCTGAATTACTTTGTTACTTGCAACAAGTCATACTGTTATGTCATATAATAACGATGATGTACCAGAGATCTTCAAAAAAATTGACACCATCTTGACCAACTACCAAGCAGCCAATGGGAGCAATGATCTCAGCATGAAGTATCTCTGTAACCTCTTTGCCAACATTGTTCCCAGAGACAACCCTAAGTTTGTCTATCACTTCTTGCCGATGGAAAGATTTGATATTGGGATGGACTTCAATTCTGGCAGTGCCTTCCAAGGAACCAGTGAAGGCAACATCACCAAAAATTGCAGTGTACCAGTTTACATCTCACCTGCC